AGTGTAATATTTAGGTATGTATGTGCAGCTATTCCAGTTATAAAAACATCAAAATGTGTACGTGTACGAGAGTGTATTTTTTGCATTTTTAAGGAATATTCTCCCTGCTCCAATTTTAAGACTTTCTTGTCATTTCAAACCTCTTTGTAATGTAGAGCTATGGAGGGGGTACAATATTTTATGTATGTATGTATTAGAGATGGGCGCGGGGCTAAATGTTCAATCCCGAGCCCGCCCATCCTTTCACTCAAGTTTTAGGACCCCAATATCTATCACTAAGTAAAAAGGTCCTGGCTTCCAAACTAATTTTGAATAATATATGTATGTTTATTTAAAAATCTACTATTTGAACGAAAATACACATTAAATACTATGTATATATGTAGTCTTATTTTTTAATGTTTAAATTATGCTTAGAAACAATAATTTGTGTTAAGTCCATATGGCTATTAATACACTTATTTTTTTAAATATGTTTGAAACAGTTTTAAGTAATCTCTATAGAAATAGAAGTGGTCTCTATAGGTTCGGGCTACCACTCCCTATGACCTGGTCCGAGCAACATCGAAATTGGAAAAAGTTTTCCCGGCCGCTCCTTGGCAGGCAGTGGCAAACCTCCAAGTATATTTCTGCCTTAAAAAAGGTGGTCATGGTTCTGATACGGCNCGGCCGCTCCTTGGCAGGCAGTGGCAAACCTCCAAGTATATTTCTGCCTTGAAAAAGGTGGTCATGAAAACCATTTGCCGTTCTGATACGGAGTAAAATTGTAGATCACTCCATTTGTGTTATACCATTAGGGCGCACACCACAAATTCGAGGAAAAGCTCGGCCAAACACTTAGCATAAGTGTAGACGACGGAATATAATATTACAGTACATTTACATACATAAATGCATATCTGCATAGTATTTTATGCTTAAATCATGTTTAATTAATTTAATTTAATTTAAAGAAAAGATGTTATAAACAATTTTCGGTAGTAACACACTTATAGTACTACTCCACAACAAGCTTTTCAAGTGTTCCGCGCTTTTCAGGCTTTCAGCTATACAATTCNACACCACAAATTCGAGGAAAAGCTCGGCCAAACACTTAGCATAAGTGTAGGCGACGGAATATAATATTGCAGTACATTTACATACATAAATGCATAACTGCATAGTATTTTATGCTGAAATCATGTTTAATTAATTTGATTTAATTTTGAAGAAAAGATGTTATAAACAATTTTCGGTTGTAACACACTTATAGTACTACTCCAAAACAATTTTTTCAAGTGTTCCGCGCTTTTCAGGCTTACAATTGAGCTATACAACGCCTGAAAAGCTTGTTGTGGAATTGTACTCTTACTCGTATACATATGTACATATTTTTCTCGGATATTCTACTTTCTTCATACTGTGAGGGCTGATATCTTCTGGTTATTTGTTTTGCTTTGTTGTTTTCTTTCGTCTCAATATGTAATAAAAACGTGCTACTTTCATGTATGTATTTGTATGTAACAACGTTTTTAAGGAAGATTTACTAAATTTTCTGGGTCTTGTTATGGTGGCCAAGTCTCAACAGGAAATCTACAACTGAAGCACTCCAATAGGTGCAATGCACTGTGATGCTCTGCATCTGTGGGGCTCTGCGCACAACTCCATCGGAGGCTATGCGCGTNGCTACTTTCATGTATGTATTTGTATGTAACAACGTTTTTAAGGAAGATTTGCTGAATTTTCTGGGTCTTGTTATGGTGGCCAAGTCTCAACAAGAAATCTACAACTGAAGCACTCCAAAAGGTGTAAAGTACTGCGATGCTCTGCATCTGTGGGGCTCTGCGCACAACTCCATCGGAGGCTATGCGCGTGCTGCTCGATATTTTGCCAATTGAAATTGTTGGAAAACAATCAGCGGGGAGTTGTGCCTTGAGGTTGAGGGAACTACCAGGCTGGAGGGACACTCAGGAAGGCCACACCACAATCTTAAAGAACGTATATATACCGGACACGGATTACTGTGCACCAAGGTTGAACTTCACAAAGAGGTATAGGATTTCCATTCCAGATAAAAAATTCTGGTCAGAAGGGGCTCCCGATGAAAATGGATCACTCTACCTCTACACCGATGGCTCTAAGCTAGATGGCAAGGTAGGAAGGGGGGTCTTCTCAGCGCGCCTGGGGCTGGAAATATGTTTTCGCTTACCCAATCTCTGCAGCGTCTTTCAAGCTGAGGTCGCTGCTATACAGGAACCGGTTGAACACCTACGTACAAGAGAAGTCATTTATAACGATATCTTCATTTACTCAGACAGTCAGGCCGCACTCAAAGCGCTCGACTCGGTCACATGCAGTTCAAAAACCGTAGCGGACTGTCGCAGATCTCTAAACGCGATAGCTGAGCAGTCTGCGCTTCACTTTGTATGGGTTCCGGGGCACCGGAACATACCAGGCAATGAAAAGGCGGACGAACTTGCAAGAGAGGGCACATCCGCTCCACCTTCACGGGCCTGGAAGGGATTAGGCATGCGGCTCGCTACCTGCAAGCTCATTCTAAGGGATCTGTCTCTTAAACTAGCAAGGAAGAGGTGGGATAACCTCACCACTTGCAAGAACACGAAGCTTACATGGCCAAAATGGGACAAATAGCGGTCGAAGGATCTCCTCATGCTGAGCAGAGGGGACCTAGCCGCGGCTGTGGGTCTGCTAACAGGCCATGTTGCTATTGGAAGGCACGCGGAGAGGGTAGGGATCCCCCATAACGAATTCTGCAGAAGCTGCAGAAATGAAGAAGAGCCTGTTATGCGATTGTCCCGCATTTTGTAGAAGAAGACAAAAGTTTATGGGTTCAGGATTCTTTGAGGACATAACCGACATAGCCGAAGTAGGCATACGGCAACTTCTGCAACGATGGTTTAAGTAGGAGGGTTCTAACGATCCGCGTGTTATCACAACGGGCCCACAACCAAGGGCCTATGTGTGGTAGTGGGGTCACTGGCAGCCACTTCAACCTAACCTAACCTACTGAATTTGCTTCTTTATCGGGAGTGTCCGTCCCCAAATTTTAAAGATCCTGCCTGTCGATATCCCTCGCCCATCTCTGGTATGTATGTATATGAATTGGAATATTTTTGGACCTTCAAATCAATTGGGACGGAAATAAGAAATTCAACATTCAGACGACTAATTTGAGATAATAGCTGTTTAGCATATTTACATTGATATTGAACAAGCAAACAAACACTTAAGAAGAAAATAATGTACGCGACAAAACTTAATGTTTGTGTATTTCTGCTTAACCAAAAATTTTGATTTATTTTCTTTAAAACAGGAACATAATCATTATGAGTTGTATCGAAAAAATTTATATTGAATCACTCTTCAAGATTTTCAAATATTTAATAATCGGTGTGCTTTATTTCACCAGAAGCTAGCGCAGATTTTACGAAAATAATTTCGTTAAATATACGAATTATTTCTGTGCATTTTACAAAAATTTCGTAAAAAAACACGAAATTCTTTAGTAAATAGTACTAAATTCGTTAGTAAATAGTACTAAATTCTTTAGTAAATAGTACGAATACATTCGTAAAATGTACTAAAGATCTGATGCCTCATATTTTGTACGAAAACGGTTTTGTACAATCAACGAAAACTTTCGTGGCTCAAAATTACGAAAAATTTCGTAAGATTTACGCAAGTTTTCGTTATATTTACGCAGATTTTATTTTCAGTGTGGTTTTGAAGGATTTTTAACTACACCGAAATGTTTTTGAACTGATAGAAAATATATAATTAGCTCTTATCATACACAAACTATCCCCTAAAACCATTTTAATCATTTAGTTATATATTTAGAAACATTTTAAGACTTAAGATATTACGACGCTATTAAACGTCTGGTGAATCGCCTGATTATATTGAAAGTGTGGCCAAATACTCAACTAAAGGTACTGGCCCAATGCAAGCTTACTTTGCTTGCTTCGCTGCGAGAATTGTCAAAAATTATTTGGAATATACTAAAACGTATAAAGGCTGGCCAAATGGCAGCTTTTCTTCACTTGCTTTAAGCGCCTCAAAGTTTCAAATAGGCAAACGTTTCATTTGAAAGCGTTTTGTAGGCTTTTGACAAAGGTATTTTCCCGTTCAAAAAACATAAATTCAAACAAAAATTTGCTTACTTTAATTAAAAAAAAGCAATTCGAAATGAAATTAAACATATCGTTATATTATAGTAAAAAATTGCAAAATTGCTCACTTTTACAAATTTTACACGAGAGGAAAAAATTTCTTATAGCTCTTTTCTTCAAGTAAATCGCATTTTTAAGTTATAGTTTTTTAGTAAATGTAGATATACATATGCATGTATCATTATTACCACTTCTTTTAAATACAAACATTATTTCGCATTAACTTATAAATAAATCTGAAAGTTTTTGATACATCTTCTAGAGTTTTCTAGGATAATAATAATCAATGTTAAGGGAACAGACACTGACTTTTCAACCAGACAGCTGGTTACTTTGACAGCGTTTCAAGCCGCCATTCGGCCAAACAAGTTTTCAAACTAAATCAAAGCAAACTAAAGTCAGCAAAGGCACGCAAAGCAAGCCTGCATTGGGCCAGTGCCTTAAGGCTTTTCCAAAGAGGAGCCGAGCCGTACGGTTTTGCAGCCAATTCAATTCAAAGTGCAAATTTTAAGTACTTAGGACTTACCGTTGATTTTTGGTAATTTTTTTTTTTTTGTAGAAAGTGTTGCTCATTTTCTCCATACAAAAAAATTTTTGAACATATTTTGTATGAAAGAAAATGCGCGAACAAAAAATTGCCAAAAATCAAAGGTGAGTGCAGACACTTTAAACTTGCACTTAATTATACTAAAATTTAAGAGGCTACAAAACTGCTTAACTCAAAATAACTCTAGAAAATCTGATCAAAACATTTAAAATATTGATCAACATTTGTTAAAATTCGTCGAATTTTTATAAATGTTCTACACAGTTTGAAATTTTGATTTACGTGTTTTTTTAGACAGGAAGTTATATTTTCATTAAAAAATAATAAACATTTTTTAAACAAAGGAGAGTAGCTAGAACTTGCTGAAATTCCGTTTTCCTATTTACATATATTCTCGCTACTGAATATATTGTGAGTTTACATTTTTGTATTATTTTTCAAGTTTTTTCTCTTTCTTTGGCTTTAAATAAAACTATTAAAAGGTGTTTTGTGTTTTTATTCTAAAAACAAAATTGTATGTTCGGATTCGAAGCTTTAGAAATGTCATTATAATTCCAAAATCCCATTTATGGAGTTTTCCTAAACACAGTAAAGAATGAAAGCAACGTGAATCGTACTAAATAGATTGTACCACACTACCCTTATTTGAGCAGCCCTACAACTACATACATATGGAAAACTTTTACTTACCTACTTAAAATAGCCTCAGATGTGGTTAACTTTAAAATAATGGTCGCTTATTCATTAATTTGGTGGTACGCTATGTAGCCTTGTACCTTAAAATTAAGGATTAAGGCTTTTTTATTTTAAAATGTATCACATTTGAGACTACTTTATGTATGTACATAGGTAAGTACAGAATAAATATTTTGGGTTCATATATGCTTGAATTCATTTGTAAATTGACTTAGGCTAAAGCAAAAATTCTTTTTTTAAGCGTACTGACTAGGTAAAGCGTTAAATTATCGAGCAAATTCGACACCAATTACCAAATATCAATAATACTGATTTGATTGATTCACGGACTCTGAGTGACAAGAATGTAAAATAACAAGACACATAAAGCTGAGATCAAAAAATACATAACAACTAATTAAAATAGATAAATAAAGAAGGAAATAAGGCAATAAAAACTTCTAACTTAAGGAACTGAGTTCAAGAAAATTATTGTATTTATGTATGTATGTATGTATACGATAATAGCTATAGTAAATATGGAGATATAGAAATTGACTGTTGAAAATGAAATTAACCTGATCCTTGCCAAAATAGGCGACGGCCGAAGCTGACTCGCCGGCTGCCACATCAGCACCGGTATGGGTCGAATAATCGCCTTCGAGTGAGCTCTGCGAAGAGGCGGAAGCTGTACCAGTGCTCGATTCACGTTTCAACTACGATTTGGAGTTTTTTTGGATCAAATATTTGTGGTTGTTTTGTTTTTGTTGTTGGTGTTGGTGTTTTGTGCATGGTATCAAGAGTTTAGTTGGTTAGTTGGGATTAAATGTTAATGAGAAACAATCATTTACAAATATTTATCGTTTTTTTTTTATTTTTGCCATTTTTTTATTTGCAGCATATTAATTTTTCGTAAACCATTATTAGGATTTTTGCAAAGGCGTCGAAAAGAAAAGGCGTTTAAAGTTAAGGAGAGTGCGCACATTTTAGATTTTCGGTTTTAGTTTTGAGTGTGTAGTTGTTTTTATTACATTACATTTACGGTGTGCGACGATTTATTGGTTGATGTTTTGTTGTTGTTAGTGATTTTGGGAAAATTTGTGAGGTATTAATTACAGAAAGAAAACAAACCGAGAAAAAGGAAGGAAATAAATGTTGTCAGTTAATTTTAAAAAATAAAATGAAATTATAAACAAAATATTCTTCTGGAGAACAAATTTTAGACAAAAATTATCCCCTAAAAATGGGAGTTTTTTGAGAATAAAACGAAAAATGTACCTTCTCTTTCTTATCCTTTTTCAATGGACTTCGACTACGTGGTGAATCAAAATCGGGAATATGCTCTGGTGGATGTCCCATGGTGTGACGTTTCTGAGCATCTTTCTCCTTCTCGGCCATTGCGAGAGCTAAATTTTACAAATATTTTAGTACTTCACTTCCTTCCGTTTTAAAAGCTTCTATAGATAACCATACCATCCATGCTTCTCGATGTCAAACGTCTACCAGACAAACTCCGATCGAACTTCGGCGCTGTACGATCAATTGGATTCCGCTTACTTTCATACAAAGTGCGCCCTGAGTATCTGTACTTTGAACCGAAACGAGGGAACAGTGATGACTTGGTCGGTGGTTCGGGAGTCATAAGCCGGAAGAATGTATGGTGCTCCACACATGACTTCCACAATTTCTTAGCTGCCTGATGATTGGCCAATTTAAAGCCAATAGTGGATTCATACTGCTCAAATTCCCCGGGACGTATCTTGATATAGAAGTGATGACGCTTGTAAGAAATCTTAAGAATCTTGGGCCATGCGAAGCGATTGATGCGTAATCTGAATAGAACAATAGCCAACCAACATCTATTAGACATAAACGCAATAAAAGTCTTACAAACAGTACTCACTTGTCTCGGTACACAAGCAACCCCGATGCGCAGACACCCAGCATGATGTCAACACCCTCCGAATCTTTGGCCGGGTGCAAATCTACCCCATACATAGCTAGTTTCTTGGCATTTTCCAAGTAATGCAATTCTGCTTCAGCAGGTGCTTGGCCCCTAGAAGTTTAAAATAAACTTGTCCCGTATAAACCCAATCAAACGAAAGCAAAATACAAACTTGTGAGTCTTGTGCAAATCCATGACCTTGTCCTCCAACTCTGGTGTTTGGTTTGGTGCTATTTTAAAGTCCTTCAAATAACGGCGATCGGGCATCTCTTTCGGGTCATAATCGCCCATCTCCGATTGTACTAGGTACGAACCTAGCAGAGCATGCGTGACGAATGTGCATGGCAAACGACCTTCGAGGATATCGTTACGCACTTGCAGACATAGCTGGTAGCGAGTAATGTCCTCTTGCAACTGTGCAGGCTCCGGTGGATAAAATTTCACTGCGAATTGTAGCACCCAAGGATCACTACGGAAAAACTTAGAAACTGGTTTATCCAAATCCAACCAGGTGCGTGGATCTACGGGCGTTTCATAAGTCAAACCGAAGTAGTCTTTTTCCACAATATTAAGCCCAGCACAAATGGTGTTAAGCAGGTCGCGGCCCTTGGCTTTACGCTGTAAATTGTATCGAAAAGATAGTGGTTTGGTTTTTAAAAATCTAAACTCATAGGCTACTCACATCGATTGTGACATCAAGCAGAGAGCCATCAAGCAACGTGACACGTGCCAGTCCAGCTTTTCCGGTCGTATTCGCTTTTTTATTCTTCGAAGGCGTATCAGCCTCGGTAGCAGCGGTGGCAGTTTTCGTTTCCGCTGGCATTTTTCCTAATGTCCTATTTTACTAATGTTGACAGTTTTGTACTGGATTTATCTGTAACAAAAAAAAAAAATATATATATATAAACTTAATAAGGAAAGAAATCGCTCGAAATTCGATTTAGTAATGTTAAATTTATTCTTAGTATGTACCACATGTAACATTTCAACAAGCATGCTTTTGACTCGAGATTAACTGATTAGCACTAATTTGAAGAATATTAATCTTCAAGCAAGGAAGAGAGAAGAATTGTAAGCAGAGACGCTTACACTTAACACACTAGGTGATTCAAAAAGTGTGCCACTAATGAGAAGGGTTGATGGATGCGTAGTTTTTAGAGGTAACTTTTGTTGCTTAGAAAGTAAATATGTAATTGGTAAACAGTTTTATGCCCATTTTCAATACAAAGCCATGACTTAAAACCATCTTCACCAGCCTAAAACTCGGTTACATTTCCGGAGTCTGGACAGAAGTCCAGGCGGTGTTAAAACCGAAAGCAGACAGAGCCTCTCATGTTAAACCTAGCGATTTTAGGCCTATCAGCCTTTCCTCCTTTCTAGTCAAGACTCTGGAAAGACTTCTGGAGACTTATATAAGACAATCGATTAACACAGTCCCTTTATCTAATGCGCAACACGTTTACAGCAAGGCTAGATCTACGGAGACAGATTGAGCGGTCACTAGCAACAAGTAGTATTCCTGGACATAGCAGGTTGCTTTCAATAATATCCTCCCTTATGCAATTACCTCGGCTCTGACGGACCTGCGGGTGAAAGCCACCACATCGATCTTCACATGTAAAAAGGCGATCGGTGTATCGTGGGGCTTCTCACCTAAGATAGTGTACGGCTGTACATTGACTAAGCAATATTTTTTCCCCCCACTTTTCATTTACCTAAATATAAAGTTGTTTTCCTCTTATATCTATATCACCCCATATTCTGGTCCGTGCACTTGCTAAAAGAGAAAACAAAATAAAAGCTCCCGCATGAGCTTGCTAAACACAGCTTCAGCAGTGGTACTATTTTCGGTGTTGCTCTAGGGATATTAACCCCAATCTGTCACGTATATCAAAGTAACCCTAGACTTCCGTTCTGCTTTGTCGGCCTTTATCACTTGGCAAGCAGCAGAGTCAATACGTATTAATCGGAAGTTTAAAAGCTAGTAAAGTGTAACACAAGTTTTATTGTGAATCCGAGCAGGACTTGAAATATTTTTATTTTTTTTCAAATATGGCGATGTATGAATTTCCATTTTCGTTATTGCTCAGATCGAAGAAAAATTTCCTTTTAATTTTGTAAATATTTTTTTCAAAATAAATAAATGATTATTGATGACTAGGTATGGCAGCCCGAAATGTCGCAATCTGCTTAATTGTCAGGTAGTTAATATGGCGTCCGAAAAGTGACAATGAAACTACCTTCTTTTTTTGTATCGTGCACTCTAAAAAATTTTTGGTTAAATTTGCGCATATAAGATAGGTAACCAGTTTCCTCTCTTAATGAATGCAAATTTAAACACTGCTTGCTTACTTTTACTTATCATATGTGTGGCGTAGAACAAATTTCATTTTTTTTTNTTTTTTGAGTTTTAAACATTTATTGTTCACATTTTCACAGTTTACACATAAATTGTTTAAAATTTCCTCTAAAAAATTTTCGTTTAAATTTACGCATATAAAGAGGGGTAACCAGTTTCCTCTCCTAGTATGTGTAAAATTAAATAATGTCTGTTTACTTTTACATATCAGATTTGTCACGTAGCGCACACAAGGGGTGGGTTTTGGGGCTAAATTTATTATGATATAAGAAATTTTGAAAGAAAAAATTTTCTTTTCCATTTCTTTCTTAATAAGCATTCGAAGATTTAATTTGCTAACTTCGAATTCGTTCCTAAATGAGCTACATGATAAAAATACAAGTTCAGTTAAATTTTCGTTATACGAATTATTAAAAAATTAGAAACCAGAAATCGACGAAAATTAATAAAAAGTGTAAAAATTTCCTGAAATATTTAATTTATTTATATATTCAACAATTTATATTGAGCTCGAGGCCGTTTTTTAAATGAAAATTTATTGTGGAAAAGCAACAATAATTTGAAAAAATGGTAGAAGTGATAGCTATTTCGGAAATCACCACATTTCCTCATCAGACTTCTTTCAGTAGGATTCGAACCGACGATCCCACTGACTCAGCCAGTTGCCTATGCAC